TTCAGTTGGTAGGTGTTTGTCCAGCATGCAGGAGGCTCTCACTGCCACCCTCATCGCTGCATAAGCCTGGCCTGGTGGAAAGCTAGCACTCAGCTAGCAGAAGCAGGAGGATGAGAAGTGCAAGCCGAGCATGGTAGCCCACACCTGTAATACCAGCACTCAGTAGGCAGAGGCAGACAGACCTTTGAGTTCAAGGGCAACCTGGTCTACAGAGTTCCAGGACAGCTAGGGGTACACAGAGAAATCCAGTCTCTCTTACACACACACCCAAAAAAGCGAAAGATTATCCTTAACTAAACTACATATTCAGTTTGAAATCAGCCTCAAGGGGTACAGGACATATGCATGTACACATGGAAAGGAAGGAGGGAGGGAGGGAGGGAGGGAGGGAAGTGTGAGTGCTGGCTAATTTTTTTTTGTCAATGTGACATAAACTAGAGTCGTCTGAAAAGAGAAACTTAAGTTGGGAAAATGTCTTTGTTAGACTGACCTGTAGGCAAGTTTGTGAAACATTTTCTTGATTGATGATTGACATGGGAGGGCCTAGTCCACGGTGGTACTGTCCCTGGGCAGGTGGTCCTGGGTTGTATAAGAAATCAGACTGAGTTGAGCGGTGGTGGCACAGGCCTTTAATCCCAGCACTCAGGAGGGATCTATGTGAGTTCGAGGTTCAAGGCCAGCCTGGTCTACAAAGCGAGTTCTAGGACAGTCTCCAAAGCTACACAGAGAAACCCTGTATCGAAAAACAAGAAAGAGAAAGAAAGAAAGAAAGGAAGAAAGGAAGGAAAGAAATAAAGGAGGAAAGAAAGGAGGAAAGAAACCAAGCTGAGCAAGCCACACAGTTAGCAGTCTTCTTCTGTGGCCTTTACATCAAATTCTGATTCCCCCTCATAAGGGACTGTGATGTGAAAGTGTAAGAGAAGCAAACCCTTTTCTCCCTAAGTTGCTTTTGGTTGTGGTGTTTATCTGAGTAATAGAAAAGCAAATAAAGAAGAAGGCAATAAGGAGGAAGGGAGAGAGGAGGAGAAGGAGGGAGAGGGGGAGGGGAGGAGAGAGAGGTGCAAGGGAAAGGAGATAGAGGCTTAGCCACATAGCACTGTGCCATCCGTCTTCCATTGTGTCCTCCAGGACAGGAACTTTGTTTTCTTCATAGCTTCATCAGTGCTTACAATGGGGCAGTCATCCCTATATAAATACTTGTAGATAAAAAAAAAAATCTCCTTACAGCTTACAGAGCCAGGCTGCCCTGTGGCCACCCATGGGAAGCCTCCAGCATGGTCCCAAGTATCCCAGCAGAACAGATCTCCTCCCTTCCATCTTTCAACTCACTTTTTGCTACAGCAAGACTCATTCAACTGAGCAGTGATGGTGTACACCTTTAATCTCAACACTTGGGCTGGGTGGTGGTGTCGCACGCCTTTAATCCTAGCACTCAGGAGGCAGAGGCAGGTGGACCTCTCTGAGTTTGAGGCCAACCTGGTCTACAGAGAGAGTTCCAGGACAGGCTTCAAAGCTACACAGAGAAAACCTGTCTCAAAAAACAAAAGCAAACAAACACAAATCAACACTTAGGTGGCAGAGGCAGGTGGATCACTATGAGTTCGAGGCCAGCCTGGTCTACAGAGAGAGTTCCAGGACAGTCAGAGCTACACAAAGAAACCCTGTTTCAAAAAACCTTAAAAAGAAAAGAAAAAAAATTCAACCCAGGTTCTTTCAAAACCAGAAATGGAATTGTGTCATTTCCTACCTCCAGTTGCTTCCCTTTATACTTGAACAAAAGCCAGATGCTTTATCATGTCCTGGCCTGCTTTCTATTCAGCTTCCCCATCTCATCATAGCTCCCTGTCAACTTTCCATTACACTGACCCCTGGGCTACTGGGCTCTTTATTCTGGATTCTACGCTCTGGACCCTTAGGTCTACTCTGCCCTTAGTTTGGAACGCCCAGCCTTTCCTGAGATCTTCCAAATAAATGGCTTTTCTTTATTTTTCAGTTCTTGACTTAAATGTTATCATTTCAGAATCCTTAAGAAATTAAAAATAGAATCTCCATCTGATGAGGCAATCCAGCTTCTGGGTATACATCCAAAGGAAATGAAGCCAGTGTAGAAAGAGATATCAGCATCCTCTGCTTGTGTGGACCATCACCCCAGCAGCCAAGAGAAGCAGCCTGTTAGCCATCACTAGATGAATGGATAACAGCAATGAGATATATAATGGACTATTATTCAGCCTTAAAAAAAAGAGTTGGGCTGGGGATATATTTCAGAGGTAGAGTACTTGGTTAGAGTGTGTGAGGTTTTGGTGACCACCCTCAGTACAGAGAGAAAGAAATAAAACAAGGAAAGGAGTGTCAAAGGAAGGAAGAGGAGGATTCCTGTCCTGTTTTTAGGGGTTTGTTTGTTTGCTTGTTTGAGACAGGGTCTCTCCATGTAGCCCTGACTGGTCCTGGGACTCAGTACGTAGATCAAGTCGACCTTAAACTCACAGAGATCCTCCTGCTTCCTTCTCACAAAGGCTGGGCTTAAAGGTGTGATCCACTGCATCTGGCTACGGGTTCCTGCCCTTTGTCACAAGATGAATGAACCGAACCTGCAAGACTTTACAGTAACTAAAATAAATCTGACATAGAACAAACCACTCACATGTGGAGAGGAAAAACAGTTCAACTCATGAAAGCTAGGAGTGAAAAAACCGCACCAGGGTCAGCAGAGGGGAGGACTGGGACACTGTTGTTTCAAGGACACAAAGTTTCAGCGAGACAGATGAGAAGAAAAAGGCCAAGGGAGTAACAGAGTAAAACTGGAGCTAATAACAATGATTGGTGGTGTTGAAAATCGCTAAGTAGTGTGGTGGATGCCTTTGCTCCCTGGTGTGGGATTCCCCTCTGTATGGTTAATAAAGAATCTGTTTTGGGCCTGGCAGGGCAGAATAGAGGTAGGCGGGGAAAACCAAACAGAATGCTGGGAGAAAGAAGGCAGAGTCAGGAGAAGCCATGTAGCCCCACCAGAGACAGAGGCCGGATGGAACCTTGCTGGTAAGCCACAGCCAAGTGGTGATATACAGATTAATAGAAATGGGTTAAACTAAGATGTAAGAGCTAGCCAATAAGAAGCTAGAACTAATAGGCCAAACAGTAATTTAATTAATATAGTTTCTGTGTGGTTATTTTGGGGTTGAGCAGCCAGGAACAAACAAGCAGCCTCCTACAACAGATCCGAGCACTTAGAGGGAAGAGGGAGGAGGATCTCTGAGTTTGAGGCCAGCCTGGTCTATGAAGCAAGTTCTGGGACAGCCAGGGCCACAAATAAAAACCCTGCCTCAAAAAACGAACAACATGGGACTGGAGAGATGGCTCAGTGGTTAAGAGCACTGACTGCTCTTCCAGAAAACCCAGGTTCAATTCCCAGAACTCACATGGCAGCTCACAACTGTCTGAAGATCCAGTTGCAGGGGATCTGATACCTTCACACCAATACACATAAAACAAATTTAAATAAACCATAAAAAATATTGGAAAAAAAAAGAACAGCAACAACCGAAAAAAAGAAAAAGAAAACAAAGAAAGAAAAAGAAAAGTAACTCACTACGTAGACTGAGTGGAGCTTTTTTTTGGTTGCAATCAATCTCCCTGTATGTCCCAGGCTGATCTGCCACTGTCCACACTCCTCCTGTTTTAGCTTTCCCAGTGCTGGGACTGCAGGCCTGCACTGCCATGCCCACTGGCTAAGAAGACTGTAAGTGTTCTGATCACATGAAAAAAATAGTAATACCTGCCAGGTGTGTGCCTTTAATCCCAGCATGTGGGAGGCAGAGGCCGGCAAGTCTGTGTGACTTTGAGGCCAGACTGGTCTACATACAGAGTTCCATGCCAGCCACAACTGCACAGTGAGACCCTGTCTCCAATGATATGTGAGGTTATGTATACATGAAGTAGCTTATCATTCCCCAGGATATATGTACATCGAAAAATGATGTGTACTATGGATTTATGGAATCCAGGGCTAAGTATTAAGACTGTCTCAAATTTTTAAAAAGTCAAACTTTGGGGCTGGCCAATGGCTTAGCAGGTAAAAGTGCTTGCTGCCACTACAAGTCGTAAGAAGGTTTTAAAATGTCGAACTTTGAACTCAACAAGGATAAATAATAGCCGTAATTCCAGGTCTCAGGATTCTGAGTCAGTTGAATCACTGAGAGCTCAAGGCCTGCCTGGTCTTTACAGCAAGTTCCTGGCCAGCCAGGATCACATAGTCAGACCCTATCAACAATAAGTTTGTGTGTTAAAGTGCAGAACGGAACTTCTAGGACTTGGGATTTTTGTTTTGAGTGTGACTTTTTCTACTAGATTTTAGATTCTTTTTCTTCCTTCCTTCCTTCCTCTCTCTCTCTCTCTCTCTCTCTCTTTCTTATTATTTTTCTTTCAGGTTTTATAAAAATTCTGTCTAGAAGACAGGATTCCCTAGCTGTCCTGAAACTTTCTTTGTAGACCAGACTGGCCTCTAACTCATAGAGACCCACGGGCTTCTGTCTCCTGAGAGCCTCAATTAAAGGTGTATGTTCTACCACGCCTGGCTAGCTTTTAGATTCTTGGGTTTTTACTTTCAATTTTTGTTTTGTTTTTGGGACAGGGTCTCATGCGGCTCAGACTGACCTTCACTGTCTTCAAAGGTAAGACTGACGGTGAACGACTGATCCTACTGCATGAGCCTCCTGAGCACCGGAATGACAGAGCAGCGCTACCATGGTCCTTCTGGTGACACAGCAGTCCTCTCAGGGGAACTGAGCAGAGCCCCACAAGAGCTACATTAATGGCTTCTGAAGACAGCGTCCCAGCACCTCTCAACTCTGCCACACCCAGGCCTAACACACCTCACTTAGTGCACGACTCCGGGAGGGACACACTCAAACTGCAATCCAAACCTCACCAGTTAGAGAAGAAAGATACAAAGAAGTCTTGGGTGGTAGTGGTGCACGCCTTTAATCTCAGCACTCAGAGGCAAAGGCAGGTGGATTTCTGTGAGTTTGTAGCCAGCCTGGTCTACAGAGTGAGTTCCAGGACAGCCAAGGCTACACTGAGAAACTCTGTCTCAAAAACAAAACAAAAAAGAAACAGACAAAAGAAGTCTGGAAAGGTTGGCGAGGAGCGGCATCTGGGTGAATGTATGATCAGTCAGTGTCATGGGGGCGAGGTGAACAGTTAGCTGCTCCTGAGCGGCAACCTCACAAGCCGGCTCTGGGTACAATGTGACTTGGGAAGCATTTCTCAGGCTGTCTACACTCGGCTTTCTGACAAATTCCTGGGCCTGCTTCTCGTCTTCCCATGGCGTCCCATGATTTACTCAGCATCCTCAGACACAATTCTCCTTTCCTGGTTTGCAAGGAGCCAGGATGGGCACAAGTTCCGGTGGCTGTTCTGCCCCGGTGAGACCCTGGGAAATTCCCCTGTGGTGGAGTGGGAGAGGGGCTTTCACATGGTGAAGTGAGTTTCTTTTCTTCCTGATGCAGATTGGATTAACAGATGGCAGCTTTGTCATCCTTAGACCGAAGAGGATGAAGTCGTCTGTTTTGAAGGCGTGGGCTGCATCAGGGGACAGGGCAGGAAGGAAATCTACTTGATTTCTAAAGTTGCTAAATGCATTTATCATGTTGGAAATGAGTCAAGCCTCCATGTTAAGAACTGGGTTCACAATGAAAAGTTAGATAATGTAACAGGCTGTTAAGATGGCTCAGCGAGCCGGGCGGTGGTGGCGCAGGCCTTTAATCCCAGCATTTGGGAGGCAGAGGCAGGCGGATCTCTGTGAGTTCGAAACCAGCCTGGTCTACAGAACTAATTCCAGGACAAGCTCCAAAGCCGCAGAGAAACCCTGTCTTGAAAAACCAAAAAAAAAAAAAAAAAAAGATGGCTCAGCGAGTAAAGGTCTCTGCAGCCAAATCTGGCTACCTCAGAATCTAAATGGTGAAAGAGAATTAACATTCCCACAAAAGGCCGTATGACCAGCAAGTACAACCACACACACACACACACACACACACACACACACTTAAAAATGTGAGCCATTGAGATGGTTCGTTGGATAAAGGTGCTTGCTGCCAAGTTGACTGCCTGAGTTAAATTCCCAGGATCCAAACAGATGAAGAGAGAACTGACTCCCACAGATTTTCCTCTGACTTCCAAACACTTGTGTCCTCCACCCTGAACACAAATAAACGTAATAAAATATTTTTCTTTCTTTCATTTTTTTTCTCTATGTAGCCCTAGCTGTCCTAGAACTCTCTCTGTAGACCAGGCTGGTCTTGAACTCACAGAGATCTGGCTGCTTCTGCCTCCTTAGTGCTGGGATTAAAGGCGTGCACCACCACCTCCTGGTTTGTAATAAAATATTTTTTAATGTTAATAAAAATTATTAAGGGTGGTGAGATGGCGCAGGGATTAAGAGCACTGGCTGCTCTGCAGAAGATCCAGGTTCAGTTTCCAGCACCCATATGGTAACTCACTACCATACAGTTCCAAGGTATCTGATTCTCTCTTGAGGCCTCTATGGGTACTAGGTACATTTATAGTGTGCCTAGATACATGCAGGCAAACAGTCATACACACAAAAAAAATAAGATATATAAATATTTTAAAGTTTTTAAAGGGGGTGGTGGCCCACGTCTTTAATACAGCACTGAGGAGGCAGAGGCAGGTGGGTCTGTGAGTTCGAGGCCAGCCTGGTCTACAGAGTGAGTTCCAGGACAGGCAGGGCTTCAGAAAGAAATCCAGTCTCAAAAAAAAAAAAAAGTTAAGATAATGAAATAATATACACATCTTATTTTTCTTTCTTTCTCTGGTACACAGTGATGACCAGAACCTCAAAAACATAAGAATCCTGCTGCAGCCGCCTGAGTGCCGAGAGTATGGGGGTGTCTGCGCACCGCAACACCAGGCAATGCGCATGGCTTAAAAATAGAATCAGGAAATTATGTTTACATAAATGAAAAAAATTTCAGGACAGAGTCTTGAGTTAAAAAGTCCTGGTGTAGGCTGGGCGGTGGTGGCGCACGCCTTTAATCCCAGCACTCAGGAGGCAGAGGCAGGCGGATCTCTGTGAGTTCGAGACCAGCCTGGTCTACAAGAGCTAGTTCTGGGACAGGCTCCAAAGCCACAGAGAAACCCTGTCTTGAAAAAAAAAAAAAGTCCTGGGGTAGGATGGGGTATGAAGACACAATTATTACTTGTGAGAAAACTGAGAATGTTTGGGCCTTTGAGAGGACCCAGCCGGTAAAGGCAATGGCTGCCAAGAAAGACAGCCTGAGGGGGATCCTCAGGACCTGGAGGAATCGGAGGAAGAATAGAAACAGCTCAGAATAGTTATCCTCTGATCTCCACGGATGTGCTGTTTGTACACCTCTCCCGAACAATGTGAGCAAAGAAATATTGTTTAAAAAAGAATTTATTTACTTATTTTATGTGTATGGGTTTGCTTGGATATATCTGTGCATATACACATAGTGCCCTTGGAGGCCAGATGGGAAGCTGGATTTCCTGGAACTGGACAACAGATGGTTGTGAGTGCCGGAAATTGAACCTGGATCCTCTGCAAAAGTAAGTGCCTTTAAACGAGCAAGCCAGTAAGCAGCACTTTTCCATGGCCTCTGCATCAGTTCCTCCCTCCAGGTTCTTTCTCTGCCCTCACTGCTTGTGGTGGTGAACTGTTACATTTCAGTGTGAATGAAGTAAAAACTCTATTTCCTGCCCTGCGGTGGTGGCTCACACCTTTAATCCCAGCACTTGAGAGGCAGAGACAGGCTCTGTGAGTTCAAGGCCAGCCTGGTTTATAAGAGGTGGTTCCAGGACAGGTTCCAAGGTACGGAGAAACCCTGCCTCAAAAAAAAAAAAAAAAAAAAAAAAAAAAAAAAACCAAAACCAAAAAACAACAACAACAACCAAAAAACCCAAAACTTTCTTTTCCAAATCGCATTTGGTCATGGTGGCTCATGACAGCAATAGTAACCCTAACTCCGACATTTCCTAATTCCTCCCAAACAGCTCTACCCACTCAGAACAAACACTGCAAATGCCTGACATCATGAGGGACATTTCTCAATCAAGCTGTCACAGATATTCAACAGTATCTTACCTCAGGATATTCTGACATGGACACCTACACTCCTTGAATACATGTGGATAGATATTTCTGGAAACACAAATAATGGATATTATGCAATGGATATTTCTGGAAAGTTAGAAAATAGACCAGTAAAGACAAAAAGGGAGAGGCACTGGGCATTTGGAAAGGTATTTCCTTAAATAGATTACCTCTGCTTACCTCTGCCTCTGGAGTGCTGACTGGGATTAAAGGCATGCTCCACCACACCCAGCTCTTGCCTTTTGTTTTTGTTTGAGACTCTCCTGGGATTCATTATTAGACCAGGCTGGCCTTGAACTCACTATGGGTTCACTTGAGATCACACACTCACTGGAGATCTGTTTGCCTCTGTCTCCTGAGTGCTGGGACTAAAGGCGAACGCCAACATGACCGGCCCTGCACGGCACACATTGTAAGTATGAAACCAGAGTATAACTTGAAGGAGCCATTTTGGTTCTCTCCTTCCTCCATGTGGGTCCCAGTAGCCTTGGAGGCATCTTTATCTTTATCCGACGAGCTGTCTCACATACCTCTACTTTGGCTTGCTGTGGAATAATCTTTTAGTACACTTTAGATTGAGGCTGCTACACCAATGCAGGTCCAGTTGATACACTGTCACCAATCCCACTGCACTGCTGTCTCATTCCAAAAGGTTTGTGCACCGAGCCTCCGGCCACACATGCTCTCACTCCCATGGCTCACTGAAAGCTGGCCAGCACCCAGGAGAGCAAGCTTTGCTCCACCCTGGCCTCTTATTCGGGTAGTTAGGTCACAAAGCCTCCAATAAAACTCCACCCCTTCGGCCCAACTGCTTCTTACAATTGGCTAATCAAACTGATGCCAGAATTCTTGCAACATTGGCTGTCGTGGTACTCGCCCAATAGACCAGGCTGGCCTCAAATTCACAGAGATCTGCCTGCTTCTGACTCCTGAGTATAAGTCCCAAGTCCTGGTCCATCTTTGGAGGCCCCAGGGAGGAGGGTCAAGACAGCCTGCCAAAATCTTGACCACTCCACCAGTCTATTTAAAAAGCTTCCCTGAAAGTTCTGGCATGTTCCGTGTCCTGCCCCCCATCTCCCCTCATTGTCGTCGTTGTACCCCCCCCATCACATCCGCGGCTTCCCAGTTCCCCCTCAGGTCCACCCGAGAGTGCAGGAATCCCATTAAACCTGGATATATTTTAATTTGGCTTGATTGGGATTTTTGCGTTGGCAGAGAGCTCGCGTTAGGAAAATTCCTGACACTGAGTATTGGGATTACAGGTATGTGCCACCACTGCCTGGCTTATACATCCCCACTTTTGAGACAGAGCTTCATGTTGTTGACAGAGGTTTCTGTCCAACCAGGTTCTACAGCTGTTTAGTACCAAATAAACACAGAGAGGACTACATTAATTATAAACTGATTGGCCTATTAGCTCAGGCTTCTTATTAACTCTTATAACTTATATTACCCCATAATTCTTATCTGTGTTAGCTACATGGCTTGGTACTTTTCCAGCATCTGGGTGCTGGCTGCAGACTGAAACTTCCCTCTTCCCAGAATTCTTGTGCCCTGCCTCTACTTCTGCCTGACTACTGGCCAATCAGTGTTTTATTAAAATACAATTCACAGGGTATAGACCATTGTCCCACAGCATCATGTGGCCTAGGCAGGCCTTGAACTCACTATATAGCCATGTATGAATTTGAGCTGTTGGTTCTTCTTTCTCCACCACCTTTCAAATGCTGGAATTCCAGGCATGCACCGAATACCTGGTTTATTTAGTGTTAGGAATTAACTCTAGGATACTACATTCCTAGTACACTTGAGCTGCCTTGGTGATCAGACAGATTACCATGGTATCATAGCACTGTGTCCAAGCAAACTTTATTTTTTTTAACAGTGGTCCCAAACCACAAGAGTAGTGCTGTTGGCTCTGTTTGTTACTTTGTGCTCCCATGGTCACTATTCCTGAAAGAACGTGAAGAAAGGTTTGTTTTGGTTCATGCTTTCAGAGGGTTCCATCCACTGCAGCAGAGAAGGCATGCCGAAGCTGTTTGTGTCAAGGTGATGAGGAAATGGGAAGAGGCGAGGGGCCTGGATACTTGGTATAATCTCCAAAGATGCGTCCTCACTGACCTATTTCCTCCAGCTCTTCCTGCCTCCCAAAGTTTCCAGAGAATCTCCAAAACAGTGCCAGAAGGGTATCAAGCCTTCTATACATGGAACTTTGTGGGACATTTAAGATCTACACCATAGAACTGGGCACAGTGGCCCAAACCTCTAATCCCAACACTTGAGAAACAGAGGTAAGAAGATGGCTGTGAGTTCCTAGGCTATGTTCCTACCTAGTTTCTGTCTAGATTGGTCTTCACAGTAAGATCCTGTCTCAAAACACCAAAAACATCCAGGGAGAGTGAAACTCACAATTCCAGCACTCAGCATGTGGAAGCAAGAGGATCAGGAGTTCAAGGTCAACTTAGACAATGTAGGGATTTCATGACTAGCCTGGGCTACATGAAAACCTACCTCAAAAGCACCAACAGGGCCATGGAGATGGTTTGTCTAGTAAAGGCATTTACCTGCAAGTCTCATGACTTGATTGTAAACCACCAAGTATGGATACCAGGAACTGAACTCAGGTCTTCCGCGAGAGTAGTAAGGGCTATTAACCACAGAGTGGTCTCCAGCCCCATGGAAGCTTCTTCCCTTCTTAAATAAGATCTCAGTGATGATCATGTGCACCTCTAAACCCAGCACTCAGGAGGCAGAGGAAGGTGGATTTCCGAGAGTTCAAGGCCAGCCTGATCTACAGAATAAGTTCCAGGAAAGTTAACACAGAGAAACCCTGTCTGGAGGGGGCGGTATCTCACTATGTTTCTATGTAACTTTTAAATTTTAGTGTGTGTGTGTGTGTGTGTGTGTGTGTGTGTGTGTGTGCTTGTGCATGTCTAGATGTGAGCATGGAGGTCAGAAGACAATTTTCTTCTTCCACCAGGGATTCCAGAGATTGAATTTACATGTGTTGAGCAAGCATTTGTGCTCACTGAGCCACCTTACCAAGGAAGACAGCTGTTTGCTGTTGTTGTGTTCAGTGTTGTCACTAGCCCTGGGTTTGATGCTCAGAACAACACAAACTAGTCTAGGTGATACACACTTGTAATATCAACTCTAGGGAGTTAGAAACAGGTGGATAAGGAGTTCAAGGTCACCCTTGTCTACCCAGCAAGGTCAAGGTCATTTTGGGAATAACAAAATCTTTGCTCTTCCAGACATTCAGAGTTCAGGTCCTAGTAACTACACAGTGGCTCACAACCATTCGCTAACACGCAGGGTATCTAACTCCCTTTTCTGGCCTCTGAGGGATGCTTGTGGTGCACATAAATTCACGTAAGCACACATACATTAGAATAAAAAATTATTTTAATTGAATTGTAAGATAGAAAAAGATTTGATTGTTAGCTCAGAAAATAAAACTTATATAATAGGTGAAAAGTTTCTGCACCTTAATAAGCCTCTCTGCCAACGCAGCAATCCAAACCAGACCAAATCAAACAGATTTAAAAAAACCCAGGTTTAGTGGAAAAACAAAAACAAAACAAACAAAAGGCTGGGTAATGGTGGGAGGCAGAGGCAGAGGCAGATGGATCTCTGTGAGTTCGAGGCCAGTTTGGTTTATAATGCGAGTTCTAGGACAGGCTCCAAAGCTACACAGATAAATCCTGTCTTAAGAAAAAACAAACAAACAAAACAAAAATTAAAAAGCCCAGGTTTAATGGATAAAAGGTTTTCAGATGACTTTCCAGCACCCCCCACCCCTCACCCCCACCTATAGGAGACAGGAAAGGAAGACTAGAAAACCACACTTCTGTTTTCTGGGGGGGCAGTTTAAATACTCTGTGGGAGTGGTCTTGAGCATCTCAGGGGAGGAGTCATTGTTTGGCGGGCCCTCTGAGATGAAGCAGGGTTTGGAGAGTGCTAGGGGAGGTGGCTTTGGGTGGAGCTTCAGCCTGAACATTCCAGGCTCTTTGGGTTTATGGATGCCAGGGCCTGGGGTGAAGCTTCCAGGAGAACAGTAGATGTTAGAAGTTGTGAGAATGAAAACTACCTCATAGTTTATATCTCATGAACTCTCCCATAACCACCTCTACTAGAGGGAATTTTATTATGTCACGTGGTAGACCAGATGGTCGCTTGGTGTCTCTTGGTCAGCTCTTATAGGGCCCACCGGTCTACCCCTCCTCTCAGGGTTCATCTTGAGGACAGTTTCTGGTCAAACATCTTGTTGCTTTTTCCGGCTAAACATCCTGTTTGTTTCTGTGCTCCCTCTGCGGTCCACCCCCACCCCCAGCCCCCCCTCCTCCCCCGTGGTGGTTAGCCATGGCCATTTTGGGCTTGATAATTTCCCACCTGCCTGGGGGGAATTCCACTGCGCAGCAGTTAGGTATATAAGGGATTTCCTAAGCTTGAATAAGCGGCATTTAGCATTATCTCCTCACGAATGACCCGTGTCTCTCGTATGTTCTTTTAATCTCCAGGCCCTTGCCCAGCTTGCGAATGGTACAGTAGCACAAACTGTACCCTGTACCGTAGAAAGGTAGAAAGTAACGCAGGCATTGTTATTACAAGCTCTTCTCAGGATATTTCAGCTCCTAAGCAAAAATGGCCATGGAAGACCATAGTAGATTCAACTCACCAACCTTAGCCTGTCGCATCATCAATGAATGCAAACCTTGCTGTTGGCAGCAACACTTGCTGAGCCCCCAAGGAAGCACAGTGTACTATGGAGGCCAGGCAAATGCCCAGTCTTCTGAGGACTGCATTGGGCCTCTCCTATCATGGGTTGGGCAATATGTTTTTTCTCCATGGAATAAGTAACTCTGTTCTTGTTATTTGCTTTTCTTGCCCTTTTCACTTCTGCCAAAAGCAGCCTGTGTGTGCACAATGAATGGCCCTATTCACCATTCACCATCGTGTTAAAGCACACAGTACTGCTTCTGATCAAGGGACTGTTTATTTAGAAGTTGGGTCGAGTTTGGAGAAGGGTTGTTCGTGTACAACAACACCCCCAAAGCAGTCAGCCTCCTAGAACACAGGCACAGCCTACTGGAAAGGCGGGAAGAGTGACAGATTGGGGGACATTTGGGTGGGGGCTCTGTCTTAAAAGATGTGTAATCACTGAACCAGTGGCACATACCTGATCCCAGGTTACACAGACCAGGGAACCCAAGAGAGTAACATTTCTCCAAAATCACACCCTGTGACTCACTCTTCAAATGTTTGCACCCTGGGTGGGGAAAGGTCTCAGGGGTACTGAGCTTACCTAGCATGTCTGAGGCTGGGGGTTCAGTCTTCAGCATCACACATGTGTGCACCCCAGATTGTTCTTGTATCTTGTTCATGTTACCCTGAACACTGAGATGTTTTGTTTGTTACTTGTTTGTTTTCCATCTATGCGTGTGTGTGTGTGTGTGTGTGTGTGTGTGTGTGTATGCATGTGTTGGAATGCACGCCACAGTGGATATGTGTCAGCCAGAAGAAAACTTTTGGGAATCAGTTCTCTCCTTCTACCACATGGGTTCTGGAATTCAGGTCATTAGGCTTGACATGACCTACTGAATCATTGTAGGGCCCATGGGTCTACCCCTGCTTCCGGGGTTCCTTTTGAGGGCAGTTTCTGGCCAGCCAGCATTTGCATTTCCTGTTTGTTCCTGTGCTCCCTCTTCCCCACCTG